TCTAAAGGCCTCAGAATCGTCCACTGATCTCCTAACTCCTATTTGTTCGCTTAGGGCTCCGGATATCCCTCTCCCTGCATTCGTACCTCTCTTTCCGCTCTTGCCCTACATTACTCGTCCATCCTGAAAACGCGGTACAAATCTCTGAAACGTCGGCAAACTAAAGTGTGTCAATCAAAAGACCGGAAGTTCAAAGAATAATGAGCTTTATATGTAACCGTCGGCAAGAAGCAGGAGTCTTTTGGGTTTCCGCTATGGACTTGCAACATTATATTTGAAACCGGTTCTAGGACCACTGTCGTAAATGAACCGTCCAAATCCACGTAAGAATGTGCCAGCAGACAAAAAATAGACGTTCTTGAAAACATGATAAGACTTAAAAGGTGAAACGAATCTTAAAGACACACACACACACACTTAAGTTTTGTAGAGCATGTTAGAAATGAATGGGTTGTACTGTGTTCAAGACGTTACCGCTCATAGTCATGGCTCTCATAACCTCAAATCCAACACACAAACACACACACACACACAAGTACGTGCATGCAAAAATTCGGTTCAGTTTATCCGATATAACGATAATTTTTTTTTAATATTAGAAAATTGACATTTTTATATTAACCGGCATTTTTAAGCATGGATGAAGCCACGGTTGAATTTATCAACTCCACAAAATAGCCACCAAATTTTCTGAATCAAATCCGGTTTATTACTACACTTAGAAGAAACTTGGGCAGTTAGTATACATAAACTAGAGATAATTGTTTCAGTCCCTTGATTTACTGCAACAAAAACAGAAGGGACATGACCTCTAGTGTCACATCCGACCAGATATCAGCTAATGGAAACGACAGACGCAAACCGTATTCAAAAGGGGGAGGAGTCCTATTTAATACAGAACCCAATCAAGAAGGTGATTGCATTATAAATAATATGCTTACTTTTAACATTAAAAATGGAGAATATATTCCAGCTTAACAAATAAGCATTAATTAATAAATATTTCAGTACATAACACACGAGTTCCATTCAATCCACAGATATGTTCATTTCGATCAATTTTTAAAACATAATTTATTAATTTTTTTTATAAAATTCCAATCACAACCATTGCTATATTTTCTCGTTCGTTCATTACGATAATCAATTGTTACAGGAAGCTGTCACGACAAGTAGGTCTACAGTCCTCATTATTACGATATCAATCATTAAAATTGCTTAAAAAACACCTTGTTACCGTATGATCAGGCCCGACTTTCAACTTGTCAAAACGCAACACAAAAAACTATAAGTTTTAACTCCTGTATGGACAGTTATGTTTATTGCGATCAGAACAATCAAACGTGCAACACAAAATACATAACTCATTAAGATTTACAACTTTTACTTCAACAATTTTTAACTTAATTTCCTTATTTTATAATCAATCCCACATATTATATCACTGCTAATAACATCACTTCCCGGGTAGGATCTCGGACCCTAGCTGCGATAAAATCACATGCAATTCACGTACGGCCTTTTTTGGTGGAATGGGGATTGCATAATCGTGTTCAGTACAGTGAATTAATAATAACTTTAATGTGTATTCTATGCGGCAGTCTTCATGTGTTTCAGAATACATGTGAAGGGTTACGTACGGAACGAGACAAGCTTGTGCCCTCCTTGTCGCACTTGTAACATCGCCTTTCGTTTCAACAGGACCTTCACTGTTGGGGATGCATACGTACATCCGGCAGACCAGGTGGCCCAACTGCCTGCTGTGTCGCGGGAGGAGACAATAAGATTATGTCATTAAAATTTATAACTCTGCCTTTCAAAGTGATATTGCACTTCCCTTTAAAAGAAATACTGACAACGTTAAGTGGAATACATGTCCATTACACAGTTAACTACAAATTATACATACTAATTTCACAGAACGCGGATCACAGTGGCCGCGAGGTCTAAAGCATGAACTGTCTTAGTCCTCTCGAACGCTGGGATCGTGGGTTCGGATCCCACTCAAGGCATGGATGTCTGTGTGCATTTATTCTGTGTTTGTGTTGTCCTGTGTAAGGTAGCGGCCTTGCAACGGGCTGTTCCCCCGCGCAAGGAGTCCTACCGACCGTGTAAAAGATTAAGACACTGAACAAACGGCCAGGGCCCAAAATTGGCTGTAGAGCCACTGATCAATGAATTTCATAACGCTAATGAGACTGAGAAGCCGGTCACGGTAGCCGAGCGGTCTAAGGCATGTATTGTCTTCGCTCGCTTGGAAACCGGGATCGTGGGTTCGAATCCCACTCAGGGCATGGATGTTTAGTTTGTGTGTGTGTGCGTTTTTCTGTGTTTGTGTACAGGTAGAGGCCTTGCGACGAGATGATCACCCGCCCAAAGAGTCCTACCGAATGTGTAAGATCTAGAAAAACCGAAGTGAAGTTCATGGAGGTAGGCCTAGGTCCACTGGGGCTGTAGTGCCAAGGGAAAAAAAATGAGACTGAGAAACTGAGGAAAATAGTATCTTTTGACGAAGTCTCTATGTTAAAAAACCACGCTTCCCATTTAAGCTACTTCCGTGTATAGTTACCTGCGTTTCTAGTAGGGGTGTGTGTATCTAGTATTTTAGAAGGGGTCATGTCCCTCCCCCGTTTGCCTTCAGGCTTACCCGCTAATCTTATAGACCACAGCGTAACTTTCAAATATCAAAATATTAAACTTCTGCATTTAATTAGATGTAACGAGATTACAGTTTTCTGAGATGAGATGCCGTGTGATTTTGTAGATAGATAGGAACGCTTCGGTGGAACCAGCAGGCGCCATATTGAGGAAAGACGAACATTCAGTGCATTGTAAGAGCACATAAAACTTAACAACAGCGATCAGATCCCTCTGTGTGAAGTGATATTCATTCCAGTTAGTAAAGAATTTTCTCGTCTGTAAGTGGAGCCCCAGCGTTCATTACAACATTCACAAAATCCAGCCACTTGATCATATCCTGAGCCAGTTTACTTATCTGGAAACGTAAGAGACGTAAATACTGAGTTAAATTCTTTTCCTAAGCCCATTTTGTGGTGTACATTACAATAATAGCATTCATTTCCTGCCCATCAGACTGTTTCAGGACGTTCTCAGGTGTAAAAGCACTGAGAGCTACCACAGATCAGAATACATCTGATAAGAAAATGGTTCATATTCATACAAGTGTGGTTTATCCGATGCCCTTGTCAGAAAGCCCGACTACTCAGCGTTCAATGTTCACAATTAACTTAACGTCTATTATTTATCGTCCGTCAATACTGCAACACTCTTCCATTCACCACTCAATTTTTAGTTTGATATTATACACCTTGACACTACATGTTTCGGCCCCAAACGGCCATCTTCAGGTGTCTTGATATGTTACAATTGCCGAACAATTGCTTGCCGAAGTTGAGGCAAGCTGCCGAGACAAAACATCCTGGACATACATTTATGAAAATGGACGACACCCTGTGTGAGGTGAAATAAAATGCACCAAAATAACGTGGGTATAATAGAAACTTTAAAGGATTTTATATGGTTTTACCTTAAAAAGAGGACTACAGCGTGCTATTTTAACACGAACTAAGACATTGTAGCAGTTTTAACACAATTTAATAAAATAGAATGAAAAGATTGTAACATATCAAGGCACCTGAAGAAGGCCATTTGGGGCCGAAACATGTAGTGTCAAGGTGTATAATGTGAAACTAAAAACTGAGTGGTGAATGGAAGAGCGTTGCAATATTGACGGACGATAAATACTGGACGTTAAGTTGAACAATTGCAACGGGATGCTGAAATACAGAGTTCACAATTAATTAACAATTAATTGAAGTCGACACTGATTGATACATTCGTGATAAAATTTTAGATAGAAACCAGAAATTTTCCTGGAGGAAATTGAACAGCGAAATCCCTGTAAGGATAGCCGATTTCTGGGCACAGAAAGAAGTTTATTTCAGAAATTCAAATTTAACAGGCGAACCAACTGTTCGGTTGATCGAAATGGACAGTTGTCATTTGCTGACGTATGTGGCAGGAAGTCTGAAGGAAGCCCTGAAATTTCACATACATTTAAAATTAGGACGCTGAGAGGGGAGAATTCGGCAGATAAAATTAGGTAGGAATTGGACCAGATCTGGAAGTCCACCCTCGCAGTGTTATAAATAGCACAGTTCTTGCTTTTCTAATCCTCACATCATTCTAACGTTGCTTCCAGGTAAGTTCTCGAGGTGTCCACTTATATGCATTATCCATCAACCCTTAGTGTCTGGTGTTTGTGCTGTGGACTTCATCTACTGGCAGGCGTTGATGAGTGGCTTCTGATGCAACAAGTGTTATAATTATGGGCGGGAACTTCAAATCCTTTGCTCTATTATTCGAACGAGCTCGAAGAATGAAACTATTGTCATCTTTTTTCGTTCTGTGTAACAGTGACGCATGGTAATCTGTGGGATTGCAGCAACAGCATGAAAGAGACTATTCCTCATGCAGTGACATCTTTGGATGCGAAATTTACCACGACAGAATCAGATATTTAGTTAATTGAATTATTCAACAAGGTTTTGGTAACATAAAAGAAAACCACCATTTAAAATTAGTTCTAATTTACTGTTTCAAACTCTGGGTACACAAATGTACACAGGATATCACTCATTAAATATGGAATGAATCTGTGTTTTAAAATCATGTGCTTTATAATAAGAACAGCCCCGTAATCTCCAAGCATTGTGTTCATGTTCGAAGTCATATCATTGTTTTTAACAACTGTTTAATTCAATAACCTTCTTATACAAAATATCCAAAATATTATAGGAAATCCAACATGTTTCGCATATAAAGACTCATCATCAGAGGCACCATAAGTTCCTAAGCTAGCCCGGTTTACATTGCTAAGATCATGTATGTGTTGCACCACTTGTATACCGATGGAACTTCAGAATGTTGAACACGGATCGTCTGAGCTCGGTTTATGGGAGGAATTGTATATGTTGCAGCTACCAAGGGCAAGATCAACATCGCAGAGTCAAGATGGTAGTGATGCTAAGGCAGTGCTGTTGTGGGTGCTCGCTCAAGACCGGGAGCAGCATCATCAGCGTCACTGATGCGGTGAGCATTTAAACGACTCAAGAACTTACAGTTGCAGCCATTGAATAATCCCAGGATACAGCAACGAAAAAAGTGAGCGGTGAGGATAATAAAGTTAATTTGAATAGGGCTGATTCTCAGGTTAACCCTTTAAAGAACAGCGGTTAATGATGTACAAAAACAAGAAGTTCTTGGAAGAAAGAACAGTCTACTTTCCTATGATAGGACAAGGACAGCATTGAAAATTAAAAAATTAGGGGGGGCAGCCAGAGACAACAAGGTGATCTCATAAACCTTCTTTCATTTTTTGTGTTCAAAATAAGAGAAGCACAACCAAAATATAATTTTCCCATTCAGTCAATTGATGTGTTCTGCATGATTCTCACAAAAGAAAACTGATTATTTCTCTAAACTGTTTGGTCTAATGGAGAAGCAGTGTGTTCGCTGTTATTCAGGATCGGAATTTGTAGATATATTACTATATTACATTATATACATTATTATAATATACCAGTGTTTTAATAACGGATATGATTTGTTTGGATAAATGATAAAGAAATTACATTCATTTTCCAGTGATCGCCAAAAAACTTTATAGGCCTAAATCCATTATTGTAAAGTTTTCTACAAATAAAAGAGTTCACATAGGCTAGGCCGCGAAAAAAGTTCCATGGACCGACATCTCCCTCGAGCTGTTATGCTTCCTCTCCAGTGTGCTCCCCTGTATTCTCTTCCAAGTCTAGTCAGTATGTTCATACGAAATTTTCGTGAGGATAATTTCTCTGAAGAACATACGCTCTGGGCTTGCAGACACACGAAGAAGGGGGGGGGGTAAAAATTAAGGCAAAGGTATCCCTGAAACAGGCCGTTGAGGACCATAGGATTTTGAGACGTCGAGCCTCCCACATTGTTATAGACAACTGGCTTACAGTTTGCGGTGAGGTTGTCAGGCTTACGACCGCCCTTTACACACAGGAAGATTCCTGATATTCATTTCTGTTAGAGGCTGAGTCCACCCCAGGATCATCTTGCAGCTGGAAGGATTAGGTCAATTGAAAAATCCAGTGATCTCATTGGGAATCGAACTCGCGACATTCCGACATGTAGTTTAGTGCCTCAAGTTGAAGTGGAATACAACAGCAGGTAGGTGAAACCCAGTAGCCCCCAATATATGAACCCCAGAATCAGAAACCTTGAACATTGTGAAACTTCCACCCAACGGTATCCAGGGTCAGCTTTCTCTTTTATTATCACTAGAAACAGAGTTCCAGAATTCCGAACCATGGACTTGTCCTGTTAAATTAATTTTTCTGAAGATATAAATTATGTACTTCCATACGGGATCTTCAATAACATATGCCAGTTTATAAGCAAAGCGATTGTAATTTGTGCAACTTCTGCTTCTTGCAATGCGCGACATATTTTTTGGGGTTGACGTTTGTTTTACAGAGGTCCCTCAGGTTGGGAGTTGAACGTTATGCTTGGGATCTTGCTCTCTAAAAAAATACTGCTGCCAAATCCAAAGATCTGAAAACCGGATTGTCTGATTCATGACATGTAGCCGGAAACAGATAAATCTGGCAGAATCTTTTAAAGAACGCTATGGCTAAAAAAACTGTTTTACCTATAATGCTGATGACGATTACTCGTTTTACAGAGGGCCAATATGAAGTTCCAGGCTTACGAATTACTTATTATTCAATAATAAGAAATAAGAAATAAAACCTCACATATAACATATTACTTAAGAAAATATAATTAGATCTATGTTTGTTTTGAAATTATCACTTTGTGTATGTTCTGTAAAATTATATATAAAAAACAAATACGTGTATTATTGAATCAACTGAAAGTTTATTCATCGTAAAACTCATTTAAATGCTAAACTTCAGACTTGAAATGTCCTGATAGGAAATGTCTACTGTATCGAAAATAAACTGCGACACTGTTCGCAATTTACGGATTTTGTATAACTTCCAACATTAGTTTTAATATTTGCATTATGTTTAATTTTCAGACAATTGGTCTACTGAGCCTGGTGTTAGCAATTGCAGGGCCAGAATTTGCGAAAGATTTCCATGGAATGTTTGAAGGTAAAATACAGTTCGAGTAAACACATAAACTGATACACAATGGAGGTTTGTTTATTCATAATGCTGCTGTAACTCATGATTGCTAATACATTAATTTTTGGTTTTCAAACATTGGTTCTATTTCCTACTTGAATCATAACTCACAACTTCATGGCTTCCAAGCAACTATGTTGTCCTTGCTATCCGTGATGCAGGTCCCGTCCAATGTTGATTACATTAACTTGAAAACCTTTACAATAATAGCCGAACAATGTGAAGCCTGTCTAAGATGACAATCTGTGATGAAGACAATATCTCAAGCCCGCTATAATGCACTTTCCAATGCTACTTCATTCCTGCGCTCATATTCAAGATATTACCAAACAATTACATCTACCAATAAGCATTACTACAGGCCATGACAACAGTAACTTGCCCCGAGGGACATTACATGTGATCAGGTACTATTTATGCCAACAGTTGTGATTGCGAGTGGGGTCACGGGAGCCATACTGCTCACTGTCAGCATCCTTATGTTCTTCGGAGCTCGAAGTGTAAGTAAACACTGGATGGATTTGTTAGTCACTTCCGCGGCCAGAAAGTCAATTCTCTATTAAAGGCCAAATATAAGCCAAAAACTCGCATTTTAAATAGGTTAATGCTTACGCACTTGCAAATCTTTCGCGTTACCTCCCCGATTCTATTGCCTTCATTGATACGAAGCGGATGCACGAAGGAAAGTTACCGGATGGGTAGGATGGTGTATCGGTAACACTCGGTACTCGGTTCGAATGCAAGACCGCTTTCGAGAACATCCTTTCCAGTACAGTGTTAACCAAAAATCCTATTATCGACGCTATGCAGTCTAGCTTCGTTGAGTGAACCTAACGTCGCAGCAGAATACGTAGCAATCATGGTTCGCATTCGGGACGTGAGGGATTCAAATCTTGGCACGATGGCCGGCTATCACGTTTTCGTGTTCGTCCTCTGTAGCTCCAGGCCATATCCGGTAATAATACCTCGATCAGACCAGGACCGCTACATTATAAAATCCTTTACGATTCATCAATAATCATAACCTTCGACGTTTATATAGTCCGAGATATCGACAGCGTTCGGAGGTCAATAAGGGTGGAACTATACATCCACTTCCCCATACATCATGGCGTGGTGCTTAATAAATGAAACACAGGGACAACCTTGCCCTTTTCACCTTTTGTAATTCTCAATTTTGCTAAGTATTGTGATATGAAGCGTGACAGCTAGAATAAGGGAGCAAGAGAAACAGACATTGCTAGGAAACGGCTATGTAAACATGCAACAATACCGGAGCCATCGCTAAGCAACTTAAGCACGCAACAGTGGAGGAACTGTTGGTGGCGGTGTTTCTATGCTATCCGCGCCGAGGCTACATAAGGGGTCATAGCCTAATGAGCCCGGGCGCAGAGGAATGTCCGCCGTTGGTATCCGTTACCAGGCAACATCACTGAGGATCTGTATGTGACAGTGATCTGTGAAATGTAGTCACGAGCTGCATAAGAGTCCAATAAATCCAGTTATCAAACTAAAACGGGTCTATACTTACTGAAACACATGACAGTATTATAGGAAAAGCGAACATTATGCAGATTCTGAATAAGAACTAAAGAAAGATATACCCCTGGCAACTCTAAGGATCTCGTGGTGTTTATGTCTCTAAAAGCAATAATAGTCAGTTGTGAATGCTACTGGGTGACTAGCAGTACTGCTCCAGATCGAAACAGGAACGCTTAAACACGTTTCATCTCCTTCGTCCAATAAGAACGCTGATATTATGCTTGGAATGGACTCGCCACTTCGCTGTATATCCAAAACTGTGCTTTTGCTCTTGCATTTCCGTTGGGTGTGAGAAAGGGACAGAATATTTCTTAGTGCTGCCACCACTTGCGCTTCCCTATAACACAAGGATACGCCACTGCCAATTATCGTTAAGTCCTGATTATGTTCACAGGGACATCTACGTTACCTCCTTCCCTGGCTGCTGTATGGCTGTCTGTACATCGTCCTGTCATTCATCCAGCACTTGGTATTTGCCGTGACAAATTTCAGCCATGGTCAGTTTGAAGTTGGAGTTGGATTTGTTGTGGTTCTATTGATCCATGAATGTAAGAAAATATCACTGACAGAATAGTTGGCATAGTTTATTAAGCATTTTGTACCAACATTTTTCAAATAACAAACAAGTCATATGAATGTAACAATAAGTCACGTCTTACTTGTAATGCCCCTCAAAATATGGGCCAGACACTTGACAGATTATAAGCTTGCACATTTCTGTGATGTTGATGACCAACTGGTTGTAAACAGAGGTACATTTCATGAACAGAAGCAAAACTCTGAACCAGAAGAATGCAGGAAAATATATTTATTCGGTTCATGAGATATAAAATTTCTTTTACATTGATCATTTTCTGTTCTGAGTAATGAAGGGTTTGAAATATATTCCATATCGGTAATGAAGATGGAAGGAATTAAATATGTTTCCTAAACAGGGACTCAAACCTCTTGGAATACCTATGTATAGATGGGAGAATGTAAATTTGGTTTGTCTGGCTTGGATTAGGGACCAGTGGCCCGATCTTGTGAAAAGGGTAATGAACCTTCAGGTTCCATAAAAGGTCAAGAACTTCCTGAATAACTGAGAGACTATTAGCTTCTCAAGGCAGATTCTTCTTCAGTTTGTTTGTTTCTTTGTTTATTTGTTTGTTCGTCAGTCAGTCAGTCGGTCGGCCAGTTGGTTTGCTTTCTGGCAACAGCACACACGGACGCATAATCTTCTAGCACTTTAAAATGACTTTTGGAACTTCCTCAAAAACTGAAAACTCAAAAAATCTAATTTATACAAAATGCTTCTTTCAGTTCCATACATTGTCACTGATATATTTGCGTCTGAATTTAATAGTTCATAGGAAAATAAAATTTAATTAAAATAAAGTATAAGGAAGCATTAATCAAAATTGTATGATCATTATTGAAGTTCTGAAATTTGAAAAAGATTTCTTAGTACTGAACCTAATGCAACAAATCTGTGGGCATCTTTTATGGAAATATTTACATGCTTCAGTCATAATTATTTCCTTATCTTGATATTAAGCAGTCATAGGATTTTGATCATCTTCAATATGAACTCCAAGGAAAAATGTAAATTTTTGGTATCATACAATTAGAAGAGTACTTGCTCCCTTCTAGTGCCATGCTGTCACACTACACACATACGGAACACTGAACAGCAGAATGTAATACTTCACAGGGCAGAAACTTTCTTGAGACGCTAATAGTTCTCAAGCTTACCAAGGAAGTACTCTTTATGGAACTCATAGATTCAATACTGTTAGGAACACATCATTTATACCTGTTACAAGAAAGTAAATTCTTACAATCCATTTCCTTAACATCCACTACAGTATTATTCTCTCATCTATGCTTACGTCTTTCAAGAGGTCTCTTCCATTCCGGGTTTTCAAGATTTTGTATGCATCAGAATGTTAACTGTCCGAGACAAGAGAAGAGATTCAGTCTGTACCATGTTTGTGTTCACAGGTTTACAAGTATACTCTCTCCTGGTTGTGTATAGCTACTACCGAGACCTCAAAGGGGAAACACCAACAATACCGTGATTACAGCACATATTTACTTCACTATATCTGCTGTACCTGCATATCATACTTGTCGAAGGTACCAGCTTCCTAAATGATGCCGATAAGAAAGAGTGAACTACCAGATCAGGGGATAAATACAGATTTGTCACATCATGAACAAACGTTCTAACAGATGATAGGTGATGGCTGCATGTTGAGTTTATGTACAAATTTGAAATAACTTTTTACACATTTATAAATAATCGTATAAACTAAAGTGTGCTTAACAGTTCCACAGAAAATGGAGAAGTATATTTATGTTTTGCTTAATTATTCAGTGAATTAACGCCTGAAGCATGAACCTCATCTAATAAATAAATAAAAATTCAGTTCCAACCTCCCAGGAATCACACTGCATCTCCGTTACTAAGACCAATTGGTTAATGTTCTTTAAGGAAATAATCTCTGTTCATCCTGATACACACTGTCTATGGACAAAATGAAGAGATCCTCAGTGCTGAAGCAGTTGGTGTACATAATAACCACTGTGCCTTAAAGGGTTAATATGCCATGCAAAGTAAAGTTAACATTCTATTTCATTTCAACAGTGCTAATTTGATATTCTTCGTAGTTCTTACCTGATGACAGTATATTACCAGGTAACCACACAGATATGTATGTGACATACCAGTTAATTTCAAGAGAATTACACAGTAGGCATGAGCCTTACAAAAAAGTTCATTAGACTTGCATCACAACATTGCTTTCCTTTACTAGTCATTAAGATCTGCAGCCAAAGTCATGTACGAGTATGTAGAATTGAAAACTAAGCAATAACCTGGGCTAAAAGATTACTAAGATTCAAGTTACAATAAGTGTAGAATACAATGCAATATCCATTATAGAATTATGAAAGTGAGATTATAAATTATGTGGCAACAATGAAGAAATCAACACATACAAATAAGTGAAGACACTGTTACCATATGTGTACCACACAGCCTTGATCCTGGTTTTGTCCAAGGTACTAGAGTCCCATTCTGGCCCAGGTGAGAACTGCAATTTATTCTGCTCTCTTAATGAAAAAGAAAATTGATGGCACAATGCCGGCAATGCCTGTTTACTTAATACATAATAAATCTTTAGTTTTTCGCTGTAAGCAAAGGAACAAGAAACAGAATGCAATTTAAAACTGTCCTTAGGAAAGTAGTCCTAGTGGCAAGTGCTGAAAATTTGGGAAAATTATATTACAGAACTATATGATCGACCTAATTGGCCAGAAACCTTAGAAGTTGAACCGGAAGAAGAAGTAGATACAGACGAGAAAAGACCATATATTTTACAAAGTGAGGTAGAAAAAGCTATCAAGGAAATGAGGAAGGGAAAGGCTACAGGAGATGATGATATACCTGGAGATGTGCTCAAGTTACTGGGAGAAGGTGGTTTGAAAACACTGACAAAACTAATGAACACCATATATGAAAGTGGAGAGTGGCCCAAGGACTTTACAGAAGTTACAATGATTGCCTTAAAGAAAAAGACAAAAGCTACAAAATGCAGCGACCATCGCACAATAAGCCTTATTGCACATACAGCAAAGATA